CTGCACTTGTCAGTATTGAAACACATCCTGTTTTTCTTAGCTCACCCCTGTAACCTATCCAGGCCTTGCTGCAGTCTTTCCCTCCCTACTAGCGTGCTCACCTCACCCCAAATTTTGGTATCATCAGCAAATTTAAACAGGTTGCTTTTCACCCCATCGTCCAAATAGCTGATAAAGAGATTGAACAGCACGGGCCCAAGGACCGAGCCCTGGCGAACTCTGCTGCCCACTTCCCCCCAGGTCGAATATGACCCATCCACCACCACCCTCTGAGTGCGACCCTTCAGCCAATCTGCAATCCATCTAACTGTGTAGGCATCAATGCCACAGTCGCCTAGTTTTTTAATGAGGATGGGGTGGGAGACGGTGTCAAGGGCCTTGCTGAAGTCCAGAAAGAGAGTCCCTCCTGAGCGATCAGATCGGGAGCAGGGACTTGAACCCAGACTGCCCAGGAGCCACTAAGTATTCTGCAAACCTGCTGGGGCTCTTCTGCTTCATATAAATAAATGCATGCTGCAGTAGGGACTGAGGCTCCCACAGCCTTGAGGAATGCTCTGGCCTTGGACTGTTGGGTGCCCTTAGGGTTAGGAGACAGCAGGGTGGAGGGCTCCCCTAAACTGAGGGGGACACATGCCTAATTGGTATGCAAGCTCCCCGAGCCCATTGTGGGCTTAGCCCTGAGACCAGGGCCAGTAATCAAGGTGGTTCACGGGGTTGACTGAACTCGAGCAAGGGCTGAAATCCATAGATTAATATGGTTTTTGGCTGTAGCCGTGTTGGTCTGAAGACATAGGCAGGAAAGCTTCTTTGGGTAGATGTGATATCCTTTATTAGACCAACTCTGTAGAGTCGCTTTGTCGGTCTAATAAAGGATATCACATCTGCCCAAAGAAGCTTGCCCACCTATAGATTAACTGGTGCTGGACATGAGGACAGGAAAGGTGCAATTTCAATACTCAGGCCCTGGCCACGGCTTAGCATGGAGCAGGCTAATAGGTGACACTGAAAGGATGGAGGACAGAGCTTCTACACAACTCCCAGAGTCTTCTCCTCGCTGAGGAATATCTCCTAGAGGAGTCTCATTGCAGGAAGCAGCTCTTCCAACATGCATCCAGCACAGAGACCTCTGAAGTGCCCGACGTGGCTTTGCTAGTTTGCAGAGAGCACTCAGAGCCTGCAGGTAAGAGCAAAGGGCCTGAAGCCCGGGATCTGACTCAAGCTGCCTTGATGTGCAGGCTTGGACGAGGTGCTGTGATGCTGTTAAACCAGGCGAACCCAAGTGACCAGTGTCCTGCCTCTGCCGTGACTCCTGTGTGTCATTAGGTATTCAGCAATCCAGGATGGAAGAAGAGAAATGAAGCGCAGCCGTGACTACACTCCTGCTGGGTTTCTTTTATAAACAACCCCTCAGCCAAGCGTTTGTTAGTTTTAAACTGCAAAATCCAAGAGCAACACACACGCAAACAGTGACAATTACTTCTGGAATAGGGGCAAAGTAAGAACTTTGTGGTATTTGGAAACGGGCCTGCCAGTCTTGGCACAAGGAACACGTTTCTGAACCTACTTTATGAATATGCAAAGATATGTCCTCGTTCCTAATAATGACGATCAGCCGGTCCGTCTCTCGGTGTTTTAGCTTGCAGAAGTTCACCGGTTCGATTTCAGTGTGGCCGCCTTTCTTCAGCAAGTTCTGAAACACAAGTCAGTCACTGCAGCATAGGGAGGATCTTGGCATGGCCAAACGTTTTATAGTCTAGTGAAACTGGCTATCTAAAATGATTCCCTGCCGTCTGAAACGTGTGATTTATCTGCTAAAAACCTGGTTTCTTAGACTTTTGTGATGCTAACGCCTGACGAGACATGAAGCTCGCCATCTGCAGGTACCTTTTAGGTTTCCTCCTCAAACCCATTTAGGTAAAGTTAGCCCTGTTACAGCCCAGCTGAGAACGCCAGTCAGAGCTGAGTGGAAAAAGTCACCTATTTTACGAATGTGGTTAAGATTTATTGCTCTTAATGAGGATTTTAATTCTAGGAACAGTTACACAACCCCTGAGTGAGCGGGGGGCTGGACCTGATGATCTTGTGAGGTCCCTTCCAGCCTCTAACTTTTATGAGTCTATGAATAACCTACCTGTCTGAACGTTCAACTTTTCTCTATCCGTTAACACCAGATTTTTAAACTAAGTTTACCTCAGGGTCAAATACCACACAGGAAAACAAAGAATAAGAAAAAACAGCAATCGTTTTGCAGCAGCCCCTGCCTGGGCAAACCAACACTCAGTGAGAGAGACTCAGAACAGCCTTCTCACCATTGCCTCCACTCGCTAGTAGGGGCAAGCTTATTTTCAGACTCCAACCTACCCTTGTGGAGTGGTACGTCATGCTCTATGCATCATCTTGCGTTTGGGGGAAATGATCTGCAATCTCTGGGTGCATGTACACATGACACAGTGTGGAGCTGCCTAATTAGCTTCACAGTAAAGTGTTGGCGTCTACATGAGTGGCACTATTAGGCCAGAGCAAACTAATTAACTCCACTGTAGGATACTACTGCCCAACACAAGTACTGTTCTATGGTGGAGTTATTTACTCCATCAAAATGCACGTGTAGACACTGACAGGGCTGGCTGGGGCACAAGGGTGCTTCAGTGCAGGGGGCTGCCTGCTGGCTAGCCCCACACTGGAGCAGCCTCATGCCCCGGCCAGCCTCTC